GTAGACATCACCACCTTGTTGCTCTTATATATTTTGTTGATCAGTGTGGGTACACGAGTGGCACAAGATGGACTTATCAGGAGCAGAGAAATTGGAGAGCCAAAATGAGGTTCAAAAGCAACCAAACAAAGGCACCGGCTTCCTTAGAACTTGTTTCAATGGCCTCAATGCCTTATCAGGTCTTTCTCATCTCTTCCTATTTCGTTTTAAAGGTTTACTCTTCTTAGAACATTAAGAAACTAAAGAAATTGCATAACCAATCTCTCAGGTGTTGGGATTCTTTCAATCCCATATGCACTTGCTCAAGGGGGATGGTTAAGCTTAGTGCTCCTTTTCCTAGTTGCTGTTCTCTGTTGGTACACGGGATTACTTCTACGACGTTGCATGAACACTCATCCGCTCATCAAAACCTATCCCGATATCGGTGAGCATGCTTTCGGATACAAGGGCAGAGTTATCGTGTCCGTGTTCATGTACGTCGAGTTGTATCTGGTCGCAGTCGAGTTTCTGATATTAGAAGGTGACAACCTGGACAAGCTGTTTCCGAACACGGCATTCAAACTGGCCAGGATGAAAATCGGAGGAAAGCAAGCGTTTGTCGTACTGACTTCCCTCATAGTTTTGCCAACCACATGGTTGAAGAGCTTGGGGCTACTTGCCTATGTTTCTGCCGGTGGGGTGTTAGCTTCTTTTATTCTTGTTATTTGCATATTTTGGGTTGGAGCAGTTGATAAAGTGGGGTTCAATGAAAGTGGTGTGGCTTTAAATTGGAGTGGAATGCCTATGGCCGTAAGCATGTTTGCCTTTTGTTATTGTGGCCATGCAGTTTTCCCTACATTATGCAGCTCAATGAAAGATAGAAGCAAATTCTCCAAGGTAAGATACTGATATCTTCACTAATTATCTTTTAGTCCAAGAACTGATTTTCAGGGAAATAAACTCAATTCATGCACATCTAACCTTTCTATTTTTTGTTGCAGGTTTTACTTGTCTGCTTCGTCACAAGCACCATCAGCTACGGATCGATGGCGATTCTGGGCTACCTGATGTATGGAGAACATCTCAAGTCTCAAGTGACATTAAATCTTCCCATAAAAAGGATGAGCACAAAAATAGCAATCTACACTACTCTAATCAACCCCCTCACAAAATATGCTATTATAACATCTCCGATTGCGACTGCTATCGAGGAAAAACCGGTCTTCCGCAACAGCAGGTCTCTCAGCATCTTCATTAGAACTACACTTGTGATCAGCACAGTGATTGTTGCCTTATCCATCCCCTTTTTTGGCTACGTGATGGCCTTTATAGGATCATTTTTAAGTGTCACCGTGTCTATGTTACTGCCATGCCTGTGTTATCTAAAGCTTAACAAAGCTGCTAGAAAAAACGGGTTGGAACTGATAATAATAGTTTCGATTTTGGTGGCTGGACTGTTCATAGGTGTAGTTGGAACCTTTACTTCCATAAGACAAATAGTTAAACATCTGTGAATTATCAATATAGTTATTGACCCCAAGCTTTATGTAGATGTTAACTCTTGAAGAGGGAAATAAAAACAGTATGATAAGCAATAATGAGCAAATAAGGATTTATTCCGTCACATCATATCACTATATATGTTCCATTGGGATCCATGTCTTTGCTGAGATATGCATAAGCTTAGCCTATGTTGAAAGTGGACTATGATTTCAGACTATGTCAATGAAAAAAAGTAGAGCTAATTGGTCTGGCCAAGATCCCATGTCAAACCAACAAGTCCAATACAGTGAGTTAATTAGTGCAAATACTGTAACACCTAAAAGGGAAGACTGTGAAAACAAACAAGAATCATCAACTTTTGCCTATTGGAGGAGTAATAGTGCAAGTTTTTTTGTTAAAAAGATGGCACAATTGCAAACAAAAACTAGCAATAACAAGAGGATGGCTATGTACCTACCACATATACACAGTTTCCAGACCGAGCTTGTCCATGAACTTGAGTCAGGCGGGTTGTACTTCATCGAAAGGGCCTATGACTATCCTTTTGAATGGTTGTGTTGCTGACAATATCTCTTAATTATTTGACAGTGAACACTCGTACTTTTGACGTTCATAATACTCGAATCTAGAAGCTTAAAGAATAACAATAATTCTTTACCGCAAAGACTACTTAGTTCGTACGAGTTCACGTACATGTTATATTGAAACTAACCAAATTTTCTAGGTATTAACAAGAACTTTTTTTAGCAATTACTAACAATAACTTGTATCAAAAGAATGTACAATTCATTTACGTGGCATCATATTAATGGTTGTTACTTTTAGATAAGTATACATGAATTCATATGGTTACTGTTTTTCATTAAGGAAACAGGCAAAGCTCTATCTTTATTCGCTTTGGCTTCCCTCCACAACTCTTTGAAGAAAAAATATTTCCGCCTTCTGCCATTTATTTGCTGCAATGGCAACTGCCCCATTTCCAGTAACTTCAATTTCTCTTCCAAAATCAAAATTCAATGAGAAATTCTCAAGAACTGAACCCTTAAATCCACCACAAAATCCTCTATCTCTTCTACCCCAATGCACCTCGTTGAAAGAACTAAGGCAAATCCAAGCCTTTGCAATCAAAACCCATCTCCAAAATGACCCCACATTCCTCACCAAGTTCATCAATTTCTGCACCAAGAATCCAACTTCTACCTCCATGGAATATGCCCACAAACTGTTTGACAATATATCCCAACCTGATGTTGTCCTTTTCAATACCATGGCCCGTGGGTATTCACGTTCCAATACCCCAATCCAAGCCATTCCCCTCTTTTCTCAGCTTCTATCCTTTGGCTTCCTGCCTGATGACTACACCTTCCCTTCTGTTCTTAAAGCTTGTTCAAGTGCTAAAGCCTTGGAAGAAGGTAAACAAATTCATTGCCTTGCCATTAAACTTGGGCTTAGTCATAACATCTACATATGTCCTAGTCTTATTAGTATGTATACCGAGTGTAATGATGTGGATTCAGCTCGCAGAGTCTTTGATAAGATGTTGGATCCTTGTGTTATTTCTTACAATGCTATTATTACTGGTTATGCAAAATGTAGCAGACCGAATGAGGCGTTGTCGTTGTTTCGTGAATTGCAAGTTAAAAGTTTGAAGCCTACTGATGTTACTATGTTAAGTGTTCTCTCTTGTTGTGCCTTGTTAGGAGCGTTGGATTTGGGGAAGTGGATTCATGAATATGTTAAAAAATATGGGTTTGATAAGTATATTAAAGTAAGAACCGCACTTATTGATATGTATGCAAAGTGTGGGAACTTGGAGGAAGCAATTTGTGTTTTTAAGAACATGAGTATCAGGGATACAGCAGCTTGGTCAGCAATGATTGTGGCATATGCAACTCATGGGAAGGGTTATAGAGCCATTGAAACGTTTGAAGAGATGAGAAAGGAAGGTGTGCAACCTGATGAGATCACGTTTTTAGGTCTCTTATATGCTTGTAGTCATAATGGACTTCTGGATGAAGGTTGGAGGTTTTTTTATAGTATGAGTGATAAACATAGTATTATTCCGGGGATCAAGCATTATGGATGCATGGTTGATTTACTTGCTCGAACAGGACACTTAGATGAGGCTTATAAGTTCATTGATGAATTGCCAATCAAGCCTACCCCAATATTATGGCGAACGTTATTAGCTGCTTGTAGTAGTCACGGTGATGAGGAACTGGGAAAGAGGGTGATTAAACGAATTTTTGAGCTAGATGACTCTCATGGTGGAGATTATGTAATTCTATCAAACTTGTGTGCAAGAGCTGGTAGATGGGAAGATGTGGATTTCCTTAGGAAATTGATGAAAGATAAAGGGGTAGTAAAAGTTCCTGGTTGTAGCTCCATAGAGGTGGACAACGTAGTGCATGAATTCTTCTCTGGGGATGGGGTGAATACTGTTTCAACATCTCTTCATAAGGCGCTTGATGAGTTAATGGAGGAATTGAAGATGGTTGGTTATGTACCTGATACGTCCTTAGTTTTTCATGCGGAAATGGGAGAAGAAGAGAAAGAAATTTCACTTCGTTATCATAGTGAGAAATTGGCCATTGCTTTTGGACTCCTAAACACTCCCCCTGGATCAACAATCCGTGTAGTGAAAAACCTACGAGTCTGTGGGGATTGCCATGCTGCTGCTAAGCTTATATCACATATCTTTGATAGGCAGATAATACTAAGAGATGTCCAACGATTCCATCACTTCAGTGATGGAAAGTGCTCTTGTGGTGATTTCTGGTAATAATTTTGGTCTTTGGAAAACGCTACGGTTATGCAGCATTACTGAAGTCTGAAGCTCTAAGAAGGTAGAAAACATGTACTTGCAAGTTTTTATTTATATGAGATGAATTAATATCACTTCTATGCATAGTGTAAGTATTTAATTGATTATAAAGCATGTTGTTTCATAAATAAAGAAATAAAAATCGAGTAAAAACTTTTATAGAGGACGGCAATAGGATCCGAATACTTTCACTTCTTGGGACGGGCAATGACTGCTTCATTTCAGAAGTTGGGACAGTGTAGAAGTTCCCATGGTATGGACTCCTTAATATAGTTGCTAATTAAAAGGCTCATGTTTCATCATTGTAATTCCTTGATTCCATGAATAAAATCATACTGGAGTTTGTGAATTACAATGGATAATTCCTTAATTCCCTTAATATTGTTGCTACAAATTTTAACATGCATGAACCCTGATATGCCTTTGACCTTATTGAAAGTCATGTAAAACAAGTGAGTGGTTTGTATGTTAATTTTGTATGTTATGTTTAACACAGCCTCATATCCTATATGCTCCAAGGTGTCACATCTCACTTGGTTTTGCAGGCAAGATAATATAAAAGCTTCTTTTTTATTAAAAAAAACTTGTATTTTGTCTATAATGAAACCAATGCATTAATATTGCCTAGTTTTTGCAACAATTCAACACATTTTCTAAGAAGCTAAAACAAAAAAGGGAATTGAGCCGATGCATTGCAATTGCGGGAAAACATTAAATACATAAACATCTTGTATTTATCAAGGATCTGCCAGAAACTTAGCACATCGGATTCTTTGACTAACAACCTTCTATCTTTTCCTATAAAACCAGCTTATCAATGTTATAACGTTCTCAAACTCTTCAACTTTTAATTAGTTGAAACAAAGGTAAAGCAGGGTGAGAGGAGAAAAAGAAAATGAAGTTCAAGTGTTTAGCCTTGATTAATCTTTTACTCTTACAGTATCTGGCAATTCTTGGTATTTCAAAGGGATTTGATTTCTTCTACTTTGTGCAACAAGTGAGTCGTTTTATTTTTAATAAGAGGTCTTTTATTTTCTGGGATCCTTTCAATCATGTCTCATTTGAATCACTATGTTGTTGCAGTGGCCGGGATCCTACTGCGATTCAGGCAAGTTTAGTTGTTGCTACCCTCCAACGGGGAAACCCACCGCTGATTTCAGCATTCATGGACTTTGGCCTAATTACATAAATGGTTCATACCCTCAAAATTGTGATCCTAGCAACCCTTTTAACGAATCTGAGGTACTTGAACATGCTAGCAATCTTGATTTTCTGGTTCTAATGAGATGTAGGCCGGCTGTCAATTTGTGACCAAGTCTGCAACATATCTATTTTTCAAAAGAAGTTTTCTCATATATTTGGAGGATTATATCTTCGTACTCATCCAAATATGCCATAATAAAATGTTTGGATAATACAACATAATAGTATTTCTTAATACCTCCTCAAGTCTAACTTCTTAAATATTGTAAAATTATAGATTTCAGACCTCATCAGTAGCATGAGAATGAATTGGCCATCACTAGCTTGTCCAAGCAGCAGTGGAGAAAGCTTCTGGTCTCATGAATGGGAAAAACACGGTACCTGCTCGGAGTCCGTCCTTGATCAACACACCTACTTCAGAACAGCTCTCAGCTTAAGGCAACAAACAAAATTCCTTCAAAGTCTTACAGGAGCAGGTAAATCCATAAAATTAACACCTCTCACAGTAAGTTTCACTTGCCGCAGTATTTATTCCATCACTGGTTCATTGAAAAATAACAAAATGTCGGCACTGCAGGAATCAATCCAGATGGAGGATCTTATAGCGTGGAGAATATTAAAGATGCTATAAAAGAAGGAACTGGTTACACACCATGGATAGAGTGCAATGAAGACTCATCAGGGAACAGCCAACTTTACCAGGTGTATTTGTGCTTGGACAGTTCTGGGTCAAACCTCATAGAATGCCCTGTTTTTCCCCAAGGGGAATGTAGTTCAGAGATTGAATTTCCTACCTTTTAAACTCTTTTATCATGTATTTCAAACAACTGCATTTTATAATGTAAAGGGCCTGTGATTACATTCAAGTGGACCAACATTTTCTACAATCATGGTTTAAACCACATTTCTATAATCACTAAAGTCTTATTGTCACACCCCAAAGTAGGGGCTAGACTTTTTCCTAATTTTCGTTCGGCAATAATTCTAATTTTTGGCTAATTCAGTGGCAGAAATGGATTTTTTTTTTATAATTTTGGGACCAAATTTGAAAATCCTAGAAACTCGGTGATCAATGGCATAATTTTGCCATTTTCTCAAAGTGGGGATTTTAATCCCAAAAACTGGAATCAACCCCATTTTAGAAACCCAAAACTTATATTCTCTCTCCTCTTTAACTTTTTTTATCTCTTCAAGAAAGCTTCCATCGTCGTTTCGTCGTCAATTGGACATTCGTTTTCGACACCGCCGACACCATCGTGTTCATTGAGCTGAGAAAGTTAACTGGTGACCTCGGATTTGTCGTCGGTGCCGTCGGAGAAGGAGGTGAAGTGAAAGAAGTTTCGGGTGTTCGAAAAATCATCTCTTCGCCGTTCACCGTCGCAAACTAACACCGGTGTGACTCCCCGACCTTTAAAATTTAATTCTGCAAAAATTAGTGATCGTCCGACCATAGTAGGTCGCCACATGCGTTGCTCCTCGCGCGTGGGCGTTGAGAGTTTGTTGAACCGACTGGACCGGTCTAAACCATCCGAACTGCCTGAGCTGCCAAGCCGAACCGCCCGAGCAGCATAAGTCAAGTCGATCCTAGCCACTTGGAGTTGAGTAAAGCCGCGTTGACCATCATTTGACCGTTGACCGACCATTGACAACTGTTGACTTTTTCTGAGACCACCTATCATGATATTTTTTGACGTCTTAAGTCTGATTTTTGGTCCGTTTCGCAAATTTTAAACCAATAAGTTGTTTTTTAGCATTTTATCATCCAGTTCGATCCGATTTTCATGCTCAAGTTTCATTTCTAATGCAATTTGTTTTTTCGTGTATCTAAGATGTTATGGAAATTGAATTCAAGTTCAAGAGTGATCGAATGAAGTCTAAATGATTGACCATTATAACTCGAAAATCGAGGTAATACTTTACTACCTTATGCACGTTTTATGGTACTTGATGGGGACTGGTTAGTGCATGAATAAATATGAGTAGATAGATGTTATTGGTTGATTATCCTAAACTCACTCTGATTATTAGTGAACTGTTTAAGACTTGAATGATCTGTATAAGGAATTGGGGAAACTCGTATAGATTTTTTTAAGCCGAGTAAAATTAACCTCTGAGTCATACATTCTGATTCTAGATATGAGTTTTTAAACCGTTAATATTTAGATAAGAAATAACGAAAATACCCTTAAAGTTTAGAATGAACGTGGATCGACGTTAATTGCATAATTAACCTAAAAATTAAGATTTGATCCGATAGGACTACCTATTTACGTATTAACTCTTGATATGTATGGGAAATTTTTGACAATAACTTTTTAATCTCTGTGAAGGTATTTTGATTTCTGAAGACTATTTTACCGAAAGTATTTCTATACGACTCCATTTAATTAAAATGACAGGAATACATTGAGAATTAAAATAATTAGAATACCCTCAAGTTTGGAATGACCTAATTACCCTCATGAGTTGGATCAAATGAATTACTTTGGATAAGTTTTAAAAATATGGGTAAAGCTTTAAATGCCGTTTTGACCACAAGGATTATGAAGTACGACTCGAGTATGTCATACATTCCTATCACGCAGGCAGTATGAGAACAAGTTAAATAAATATGTGCGAATACAACATGAATCTCCTTGTAATCCGTGTAAGGAAATTTAAGAGGATATTTGCTCAACTTCGAAGCCCAGTTGGAATTAAAAAAGCAACATCCGTGAAGTGTTCCTGTCGAAGTTTTGGATACGTACCACGTTGATGAGACATTCGTAGTTCGATTGAACTTGGGAGTCGGTCAAATTGTTAACGATCTCGAATACCGTAAATTTCTGTTTATCCTTGTTAAGTTGTTTTCTCGAAATTCCTTTAAGATTCAAAGTGATTGAAGTGTCCCTTAATATTGGAACCTTCTTTTTTATATATCTAAAATCATGAATAGTCGGATGTCATAGTTCCTAATACTCTATTAATGTATTTTAATCCCAAATTTCCCGATATATCAGTCTCGAATGTCTGATTTGATCCGTTAGCTATCGAGCTCGTTAATCGAGACCTCACTCGTGGATTCAGTCCGGAATCTCTTTAAAATTATGCCACCCATTTTCTTAAAATTATTAAGTACTTACGAAAAATGATTTGGGTGTGTTCCATATTCGTACGAATATTTTCTCTGATTTAAAAATAAATATGTTTTCTTTGATTTCAAACGTATGATTCTGTTATCTGAATAAAGATAATCTATGATTTTATGTTTTTTGATACAAAATATATTTGAATCATGAGTTTTTGACATTATCATTTTTCTGTTATGGGGTTAGTATATTGAAGGAAGTATTTCAGGCATAGTCTATGAATATTAAGTTTTTACCGCAAGCTCCTCTGCTTTGTGCTCAAGTTAAGTCTTTACCTCACGCTCCTCTATTTTGTGCTTAGGCTAGGATCTAACTGCAGGTCCTTATACTGTCAGCATAAGGTCCTTCTGGGGATACAGTTGGGTGTATGGTTCACGGGAACCTATACATTACGGCGTTCAGATGGAGGGCAGTCAGTTGATGATTTTTTTTAAAATTTAAATTTACCGACTCTTTAAAAGTCTGTTTTACTAGTATAAATTATGTGTACTTTTTTCTGTATTGATAGGACACGTTAAACTCTTCAACTCCGCCTTTGAGATATTTCTCTGTCTGACATCTTCCGATCTAGATACTTCCCGAAATTTATTCCGATGATCGATTAATAAATTTCAACTCTTCTCTGGAACCAAAGCTCACTCTGTCACTTACCATTTCAGGTTAAAGGATATTTCAATGCTCTTATCGATGTCGCGTTCCTTCAAAGTTGCATGTAAGTTACAATTATTTTCATATCAATATGAAACTTATTTTTACACTGTGTATTATTGAATTATGTTTTAATGTGTGAATTTATTTATGTATTAAGAATTAATTTACGATTTCAAAATTTAATTGATTGAAGTTTTGCTTTTCTTAAATTTTCAGAGTGGATCACGCCGATGATTTTAATGTGATACTTCAAATTGGATCACATGGTGTTACACTTATGATTAATCATGGTCTAAAACATTGAAAAGTCAAGGCAGAAGAACATTAATGAACTCCACAATAATTATACCTTGGAGCTTAAAATTCAGATAATTCAAGAAGAATCATTACCCAACTAGCATTAAAAAAACTATTTTTGCCGGTCTCCTTAGGTTAAATAAATGTCAGGGGAGAATATCAAAGGGATGGTAGGCAACAAGACAAGTGGCACTCAAACATTAACTGGCCTCAGCGTTGAATTCTACGCCCTCCTAAAATTATCTTCTCTTACCAGAAAATATACTGATACACGGTGATCAACATTCCAGATCTTTCCACAACCTTCCCCAATCTCAAATCTGTGGGCTCTCCGGTTCTTCACTTCCATTAATCCCCCTATTATAATATCTCCCAAAGATTTCTTTTCATTCACTGATTCATTCCAATACTTAAAAAGTTTTTTTCATTGTTCATCAAAGTTCGTTTCCTTCCTCCAAAATCTCTCTTTTTGTCCTCAAATTCAGAACTTCTCATGGCTTCCGACACTGAACCACCTGAAATTTCTCCTTTGTTTGAAAGGTTGTTGAGGGAAAGAGACCTCTATTTCTTTCTACCTGTTATCTTGGGTGTCTCCAACAATGTTTCAAGAGAAAACAGTGAAGACCCAGATCAAGAAACATCACAGGAAACAGCTTCCCAACGTGAAAGAATAGTTCTTATCAACCCATTTACTCAAGGCATGGTGGTGATCGAAGGAGACTCCAATTTGGAGGCTTTGTTACGTGATCAGGCTAACAAAGATGTCCAGCCGCCTGCTTCGAAGTCATCCATGGAAGCCATGCCAAGTGTGGAAATCGATGAAAGTGAATGTGGGGAGTGTGTTGTTTGCTTGGAAGAGTGGAAGCCTGGTGAGGTGGCGAAGGAGATGCCTTGCAAGCACAAGTTTCATGATGGGTGCATAGAGAAGTGGCTTGGAATTCATGGGACATGCCCTGTTTGCAGGTATAAGATGCCTGTTGACGAAAAAGAGATGGGAAAGAAGAGAGATGAGCGGAGGAGGGAGATTTGGGTTAGTTTTTCTTTTAACAATAGCAGGAGAAGTGAGGATTCAAATCAACTTCCTTCAACTGATTCTAGTAATGTCTCTTCTGTAAGTCCTAGGCCTGATGGCAATCATGAAATGGAGGGTTAGAAGGATTTTGTTGGATGCTTGTTTTTCCATTTGTTTCCCTTCATTTCAATTTTCTTTTGATTTTTCCCATCTCTGTGGGAAAATCATGCTCAAAGAGATACTTGTCTGTCCAAATATGTGATTATAAATAAATTCATCTCTGTTAATGCAAACTATTCCTTGGAATTTGATTCTTACTTGAAAAATCTTTGTACCTTCTTTCTGCATAAGAATATTCCAGGAAAATTTGTGATCCGAGGTGATTCTGTGAAGAACGAAGCACCCTGAAGAACATGCTAATTAATTATATTTAGTTGAAGTGTGAATTTTTAGACGGCACTTCGAGTTAGGAAGGAGAGAGTAAAGGGCGGAGTTATTTCAGCAGAATATAACATTATACCTTCTTTTGATATCAATATTCTGTATGAAGCTCTTGAAGTTAAATACATATAACAATATACATGGTTTATGGTCATAAGAGATTGGTTCTAAATAATCAAGTTCATTGCTTACACTATATTACTAACAGCAACCAAACATTGTAAAAGTTCGATCGTGCCCATTGAGTCGATCTATTCGCTGCAGTTCAAGTCTATTGCTTTCTGACCTGGTTCGATATCATTGTGGCATTGGCTGTTGAGATCAAATGACCCCAAGAATCCGGGCTTCCTCGAACTGCTACCAGTTTCCTCCTCGCATAGCTCCAATCTTTTAGCTAGTAATTGCTCAGCACATATACCATCAGAATTGTTGGTCATACGTCTTTTCTTTCCATTAGCTTGTTTGCATGAACCTCTCAAAGCCTTCCCTTTTTGGTTGAAGTCCAAGGAAAGTTCAACATTTGGGTTACAGATATTCTCATTTTTCGGTGTCCTATTGTCCTCTTGCCCCAAGTTCTCGGAAGATGTCAATGAGCTCTCCATGGAACACATAGTACTTCTCGTAGCCTTTCTCTCTCTTCCGATTGAGCCTGAACCTCCTACATCAGTTAGTTCCGAAAACGAAGAACTTGTGCAGCCGGTGTTAACCATTGAGACTAATTGAGAGAGTTCAGCTTTGGCAAGTTCTACACCAACAGAAGAGCTATATTCAGCCAATGTTTCTTGTGCTTTCTTTAATACTGATTCCAAGTACTTCCCTTGTGCTTCAATTCTAAGCTGTAAATGTCTCTGGACCTGAAAATGGTGAAATTAGCTTGATTGGTATGCACTGATGCATAAGCAAAAAACCAGATATTCGAAGTAAAATGAGTATAATATGTTTTATATATGCATACCTCAATTTGTTCATGAAGCTTTCTTTGTACTTGCATCTGCATTTGGAGAGCCTGAGAAATCCGCATGCTTCTGATGAACACAAAAATAAGTCCGTCAACACAATCTGTTTTATCGCCATTTTCATCCAAAATTCACCGAAAGACGTAGGAACTAGAATCCATGTTTATAATTATTATAACCATTACTCATTCGTTTGCTTGTGCAGTCCACTTGTGTCACTACCGAAATTCCCATTCCTGCTCTGTATCTCTTTGTAATCTGTATCACAACAGTAAAATGAAAAGAGAGAAAAAATTACTTAACCGTTGTAAAACCCAGTATATGAATATATATGCAACAAACAATGAATTCTTAATCCCACCATTTAGTTTATCATTGCCAAGGCAGATTTCTGTCTGTTGGGATTTCCCCAGCCTGTATTTCTGCAAGAAAAATGTAGTTAAAACCTTTTTTCTTCTTCCTAATAAAAAGAGTATTGGTATGATTATATGATGAAAGAGTAAATTGCCTGTAAATGGCTTTTAAGATGATATAAAGTGAGTCCAGAAACCCCCATGACCCTCATCACACTCTTTGGTGTTGCTTCTGTCAAGCATAAACACAAAGTAAAACATGAACAAATAATATTCTTACGGATCATATTGTGATTCAGACAGATGATCGTATTATTAAGGTTGTCCAAAAGCGTTCTACTTAACTGTCTGCCCCTCCGAGTTGATTGACGGCTTCGACAAATCTCTGATGAAGTTCAGGAGTCCACTTCAGCCTAGGCTTTGAATCAGTGGAGATAACCGAATTCATTCTCTGAAATTTGAGTATTTTGGAGCAGACCAGATCAAACGAGACTGGACAATGTTTATGTAAGAGAGAGGCAGAAAACTGAAGCTCCAATGGTTGGTTTTTCTTCTTCTTTTTGATCCTTCTTTTAGTAGAAACTATGCTTTCAATATGCGGCAGATGGGAGTCTCTCTTTATTAATATTGGAGTTGTTGGGCTGTCCTATGATCTCTCTCCATATCTGGAAGCATTTGGTGGGGTTGCATGGGAGAAGGAATATATGCCATGAGCTGTGCCCTTTCCCATTTCACACCAACTTCCTTTTTCTTTTGACACATAAAAAAAAGAACCTTTTTTATTTGACTTGGGTCTATGTTAGAGGGCACGAGGACTTTGCCTCGGGACGTATGGCTTAAGTCAATAGAGGATAAAAATATATTATTGGTTTCAGTGTTCACTTATTCCGAACCATCTTAGGATCTTGGGTGGTGGATGGAGTAAATCTCTCTGATGTAGCAAGAACGGACGAAGCAGCAGAGTTAAATTTCGAGTCTCAAAAGGAGAGCAAAATAAAGAAAGTGCATGATTTGTTTTGTTCATTGCTGTTTTCTCCTTACTTTTCCTTTTACTCTTTTCCCTGCTTGATTCCCTTGCTGATTTAGGCTATAGCCCCGCCATGATGCATAATGGAATGCAACTTTCCTAACAGTATGAGGAACTTTCAAAGGAAAAGGAAAGAGAAAATTACATTTGACAGAAATGTTATATAATGAATACTTTTTAAAAAACCAGTAGATGAATGTATCTAAGAATCTAATATTAGATTTTGGAACCCACTGATCCTGTTCTTTATTTCTTCATACAAAGAAAATACTCCAAATACAAGTCACTTTATAGGTATCCAAAACACAATTGATAAATTCTTCCTACACCAATAAGGTCCTTTTGTTTTTCTTATGCATACTGCCATTGGATCCCAACATGTTAATGTATAAGAAAATACAATGATTGGATACCAAAGTATTTTCCATCTTAGTGCCATACATTCATTTGATCTGTTAAATGATGTGTAATTTCATTGCATCAGTTACCTTGAATAGATGCATTTTAAAGTTGATTCACAGTTTGATACAATTCAATGAGCATAGAGTGGAAGGTCCACTGATGAGATTGTCTCTATCAACAACAACAACAACAAAAAAGAAGGTTTAACAACGAGATAAGCATGGTGAACCAACGAAGTGGCGGGTCCATGTTCACCACCTATGAACCTGTAGTTTCCTCAATGGCAAGGTCTTATACAGTGTGGCTCTGAGTGTTTGAAAAACTGGAAAAAGAAGACCTATTGATGAACCTTACCCTTTAACAAGCTGCTGTACTTGAAGCCTCCTTTCTGCTTTAATATATTCCATATACATGTAAAAGGAGATTCTGGGATGATGCCGTTGCCAACCAGTGAATCAAAAGTCATACAATTTCTAAGGTGGATTATCAATTATTGCTTTTCTAAGGGACCCCATTAGAAGAAGATGAGAAGAATATGGCCTAAAGAATCTACAAGAAAAAGGGGAAACAAACGGAACTATTCGCCATCCAACTAAAGAATAATGGAAATTTTCAGATAAAATATTGTGTCAAGGCATAGTTACCCCAACAGTGAAAATGATGTTAGCCATATGTCACAAGTCAAACTTAAACTGTAAGAAAATTACAAGCATGAAGTAACTCATATGTTCAAATGACAAACAGCTGAATGTGTATGACATTGCATTGATAGGAATTGTACATAAAAGTTAAAAAATAAAATAAAGAAAGAAAGAAAAAGCATAAAAACGCCTGCAAAAATGGAGGAAACAAGTCTTCATTCATTGTAAAAGGAAAAGTAAAAGCTCTGTCTTATACAGTGAACTTAAGTTGAATGATAAATTTCATATAGCAAAGCATATACAATAATGCAGCTCAATGATATAAGGGGTAGACAATGATTGTTTTCAGCAGACCAAGACAGTAAATTTCGAAATTGCTTCACTAAACGAAGCCCAAGTTCTAGAAATCTATGTCATGTTTATGTTAGGCATAACATCTTTGTCCTAAGACCCCACACACACATTTGGTTGGTAGATACAAAGTAAAATCATGCAGAAATATTCCTTCAAATAATTCAAACCAGTCATTTCTGATGAAATTGTAAACCCCACATGAGTGCTGCTTCCCACTTAGTGCCGATACTTTACCCATTGGCATACCGTGCAAACTCAAGACACGAGGACTCAAACTAGCAGTAAAAAACAGACTATGAACATAGGGTATATGCCATAGGGTTCAGTTGTCACAGAGATGAATGGGGGAAAGAGAATCCAAAGGAAAAGAAAGTCCTTTGTATTTGTGTTCTTTCCTTCATCTTCTTAGCTGCTGAAACAAACACATTTTTTATTGAAAAACATAACCAAATACTAAACTGAAGTTTAAAGTTGTAAACAAGGATAATAAGGGTAGTTAATGATGATGACCTATTTGCATTGGATCAAGTGAAAAACATTGAACTGAACAGACAATTCATGACAACATTGTTACTGGCTTATTGCTCAAGAGGTCTTCGACCACATCTTCTCTTATATGCTATGGATATATTGTCTATAAAGGTCGATAGCAAAACACAAGCACTTCATTTGAGTGGTCTATGTTGAATAATCACTGTCCTATTGTTTCTCACTTATTTGTTTTTGCAGATGATTCATTGTGTTTTATTGAAGCTAATGTGGACAATTGTAGAAAGTTGTTGGCAATCATTGAAGAATTTTGTATGGCTTTCAGGGCAGCAAGTGAATTTGAGAAAATGAAGTTTTGTTTTCAATCCTAATGCTACTTTGAATGAAAAAAAAGGAGGAGATGGGAGAAGTGCTGGGTATCCCTGTTGCTGATAGTCCTGGTTTGTACCTTGGTGTTCCTGCATATTGATATTGGGGAAAAACAAGTGAGTTGATGAGAAATGTAAGGAAGCTACAAGGCAGATTCCTATATGTCAGTCTGGGGCGGTTATAGGTTGATTTGGCCTTATTATAAGAAAGGAATTTGTACTGTTTATCTGGTTATAAAATGTTGAAATCTGGTTGCCAAAACAGATGTCAATCTGCTCCTACTTCCACCATTGATCTTGAACCAAATTAGTTTTTAACTTATGGTGCCATGAGATTCATTAGATAAGAATGCTCTCTCTGTTCAGTACCATGTGTCTACTGCTTGTAATTGCTTTGTTTTTTTGGTGTCATGTGTTTTTATACAGGTTGTTACTGAACACCCTTTGTTGTACAAGGTATAATTTAACTAGTGAGGAAAAATAGATGATGAAGATGAAGATAATGTAGGTATAGCCCACATTGAAGCCCAATATAAGAAAAACAAGGAAAAGAAAGATACCTAGCTCAGAAGAAAACAGCCCAGCCTGCCTATAAGTGCAACCTTTGCTGTTTTCCTTCTCTTTTTATTCTGTTGAACACATTATGGTAGAGTTGTTCATTGTTAGCCTGAATTTTTTTTAGTAAGAACCCCAAATTTTAATTGTTCGGTTAAAGAAACCATATTTTAAGGGATTATCAGGATTACAAGCAGTTGATGGTCAACATCTAACCTGTATAAATTGCCCTCTCTCTACCAAAACAGGTTTTAGTGTATATT